GTCCGCACCAGCGTCTATCACCCACAAACAGACGGGCTGGTGGAACGATTTAATCGCACGTTGAAGACCATGATTCGGAAGTTCGTTCACGAAGACGCCAAAAATTGGGATAAATGGCTGGAACCCCTTTTGTTCACTGTGCGCGAGGTCCCGCAAGCCTCCACGGGGTTTTCCCCCTTTGAGCTCCTTTACGGTCGCCAGTCCCGTGGGGTTTTGGACGTTCTGAGAGAGGCTTGGGAGGAGGGCACTTCGGATAGCAAAAACGAAATTCAGCATGTGCTGGACCTGAGAACAAAACTCCACACATTGGGGCAGCTCTCTATGGAGAATTTGTTACAGGCCCAGGACAAGCAGAGCCGGCTGTATAATCGGGGAACCAGATTACGTGATTTTGCATGGGGAGATAAAGTGCTTGTATTGCTCCCAACTTCTAGCTCTAAATTACTCGCCAAGTGGCAAGGACCCTTTGAGGTCACACGGCGGGTGGGAGATCTCAATTATGAGGTCATTCGGATTGGACAGGAGTGGGGCACGTCAAGTCTACCATCTTAATCTCCTTAAAAAATGGAGCGAGGTGGAACCGGTGATGCTGGCGACGGCAGTGAGTGGAGAGGAAGATCTCGGGCCAGAGGTGAACACTAAAATCCAATCCCTCGCTCTGGCCCCAGGGGGAGATCACCTCTCGCCCTCTCAGCTCACTGATGTAGCAAAATTGCAAGCCAAGTTTGCGGACGTGTTCTCGCCCCTGCCCGGTCGAACGAATCTCATCCAGCACCATATTGAGATGGAGCCGGGCGTGGTTGTACGCAGCCGGCCGTATCGGTTGCCGGAACACAAAAAGAAAGTAGTTCAGGCAGAATTAGAGGCGATGTTAGAGATGGGAGTAGTAGAAGAATCCCACAGCGTTTCGGCGAGCCCGATAGTTTTAGTACCTAAAATGGACGGCTCCATTCGGTTCTGTGTGGATTATCGCAAGGTGAATGTGGTGTCGAAATTCAACGCCTATCCAATGCCGCGGGTTGACGTATTGCTTGATCGGCTGGGTACAGCTCGTTTTTATTCGACACTGGACTTAAACAAAGGGTCTTGGCAGATCCCCTTATCGCCCTTATCCAAAGAAAAGACAGCATTCACGACGCCGTTTGGATTACACCAATTTGTTACCCTTCCTTTCGGGTTGTTCGGGGCTCCGGCCACTTTTCAGCGGCTCATGGACAGAATCCTCCGCCCGCATGCCGCCTATGCCGCTGCCTATCTAGATGACATCATCATTTACAGTCAGGATTGGCAGCGTCATATGGCACATCTGCGAGCTGTCCTGTGGATGTCAGGTATCTGGGCTTCCACATGGGTCATGGACAGGTGCGTCCCCAAATTAGTAAGATGGCGGCAATTGCGACTTGTCCGAGGCCCAAGACCAAAAAGGAGGTGAGGCAGTTCCTGGGGCTGGCAGGATATTATAGAAGGTTTATACCTAATTATTCGGACCTTACCAGCCCGCTGCCTGACCTCACTAAAAAGGAAGTGCCAGACCCGGTCCAGTGGACGGAGCTGTGTCAGCAGGCTTTCACCCAGGTAAAGGCTGCTCTGTGTGGGGGGCCGCTCTTACACTCTCCTGACTTTTCTCTCCCCTTCTTGTTGCAGACAGACGCGTCGGACAGGGGGCTTGGAGCCGTCCTGGCCCAGGAGATAGAGGGTGAGGAACGGCCGGTGCTGTACATCAGTCGAAAGCTCTCTAAGAGAGAGACGATGTACAGCACCATTGAGAAGGAATGCTTGGCCATCCGATGGGCTGTCCTCACCCTCCGCTATTATCTCCTGGGTCGGGAGTTCACCCTCTGTTCGGACCACGCGCCCCTGCAGTGGCTCCACCGCATGAAGGATACCAACGCGCGGATCACCCGTTGGTATCTGGCATTACAACCCTTTAAGTTCAAGGTGGTCCACAGGCCGGGTGCACAGATGGCGGTAGCCGACTTCCTCTCCAGGAATGGAGGGGGGGGGCTGCAGGCCGGAGGGGTCCCCGGCCTGAGTCGGGCGTTGGGGGTATGTGGCAAGGGGGGCGTGGTTCAGCGAAGTCTGCAGCGGGAGAGAGGGACGGGAGACGAGCGGTGAGTAAGTAGGTCAAGTGCAAAATGATGAACACCTGTGTCTGATTGCAGTAATTAGCCTGGAGAGACCTCAGTCACTTCCTTCTTCCCCCTTACGAACTTTGTTACAGTAATGATATTAATAAAAACAGTATTCTTCCACCAAACAATGTAGCTCC